TTCTGAGTTAGGCGATGATATCTCAAGAGGTGGCCAAACCTATGCCAAAAAATGGACAAAGTCACGTTACCATCTGCCATCTTGATTCAAGATGGCATTGGCATCCAAATGTCAATGAAAATTGCTACTCCCACCTTGGGAATCACTGTGAACAGTTTGGCAATGACATAGGTTCTCAAGAACCTATAGAAAACAGGTGGATGAACGGACAAAGTATTTTCCAAAACATACAGTAGATAAAGTGATCTGTCAAGTCACTTGAACGTGGTTCAATAGGAGATAGACAGCCAGTGTAAATACCGCAATAAAGGTTTTATATGCAGATGGTACTTTGCCCCCACAAGTAACCTAGCTGCTGCATTCTGCTAGTATTTCTGACCTCTGCTTGGCTTCAGCGCTTTCTGCCAGTTGTGGCCCCTCCCAGTCGCTACTGAGCAAGATTTGGATGCAGCATTGTTTGCACTGCCAGATTGTCAGCAGCCACACAAAATGTGGTTAACCATAGTTTGGATTGCTGTGCTCATGGAGAAGTGAAATAGGCATTACTAATTGAATATATACACTAAGGCCTCCAGTATAACTACATGCATAGGGGGGGAAAGAAAATGGACAGAGCAGGAGGTTCAAGGCAAACTTGCTATCAGCAATGCAAACCAGAACTACGGAAAAAGGGACGTGGATCATAATCCCACAGTTCATCTGTGATCTTGGGGGCAGACAGGGAACACAGCTTGTTTCTTCTATATGACTCACTGGATAGTAATGAACACTTCATGTTCTCTCTCATGTGCAATAACCTGTATTACCCTCTGGGGGGCAATCTCTTTAAACAACACATTTGCTTAATCTTTCAATCTGAAACTCTTATCAAGCAGCAAGATGGGATAAACCTAGATAAAATGCCAGTTAAAAATTAATATTCCTAAGTCATTCAGTAATGGCAGAATACAGATGTTTCTGCAACAAATGCACACAGCCTTCCCTTTTATGTGAACATGAGTCATTCATTATTAAAAAGAATGGGGGAAAGTCGTCTTATGAAAGCCAAAGAAACATATAATCCAGTCAATCTCGTAACCCCCTCCACAAATTAAAATCTAAATAATCTCATTTTTTTCACATTTCATTTTTTATGTCCTCCCTACCCCCACACCTCTCATCATTAATTCAGCAAATACTCTTAAATCCTAGGATCTAACTGTCCATATGGCAAAGTGAAAAGATGTAAATATGAAAGAAAATGTTGTTGTAACCCAGATAAATTAAAAAGAATGTGGAATTACTTACAGCATTATGCATGTTTCTATTTTAAACATTCCAGATGGAGAGAGATGGTTGTTTCTAGAAAAGCATTTGTGCTGTTTATTCTTACTGCTTACTAGCCCCGCTCAGATCACTTCAACCAGCCAACTAATGGTTCAGCGTCATCACAATAATTGGTAGTAGTGATAATCATTAGGGTAATGTTTATATGAAAGAGGTTGGCTTGTAAATACCATTTTATTTTATTATATTTCTATTGCAACACAATCAAAATTTGTCCCCCTTTAACTGAGATGCAGTGCCACCCTCTAATACTTACATAACCTTATTTGAGGTTTTCCCTGTCAAGAATTGGTTAATCGTTTTGGTTTAGATAGCAAAAACCAAGGCTACATATCACGAGCCCTTTTTGTGTTATTCATCAACGTGTTTTGTATTAGAAGAATCCACAAAATACTTCCTCTCTATTCAGACATACATAGTTAGGATTGTGTTGGGACATCTGTAGAGTAGAAAGGTGTGTGTGAAGGGCTTGTTCAGAGAGATGTCAAAGCAACAGGAATAGGTATAACAGCATAGCCTGAATAATGGGGTGGGTCATAGCAGAGGTGATTTTACGGTGCCTAAAAGGGAGAGGGTTGAAAAACTGAAGCTTAGAAATTCCTGTTTTTAATATGTATGTTTTCTCTGCTTTTATTGTTTCCAATGATATCTGGCTTCTGTTTTCCAATGTGACAAGCAAAGAGATGTGCCATCTGTGTCATGTAAGGGGTGTGGTCATAAATGCAACAAAATGCTAGTGCCAGCACTGCACGGCCCAGATAAATTTGTTTGCAAATGCTGCCGAATCAGGATTAGGCTTTAAATGTGCCAAACCTCGGCTCTTGTAAAGCCTAATTTCTGATTAAATAAGCCTTTACCCATCATTATATATCATGTTCACTGCAAATTCACTTTTAGGAACTCAGCGTTTGAGTCACTCACAAATAATTACTTACTCGCCAATCTCTTTTCATCCTTTCCTGTTTATTCCAGCCAAACCTAGTTATTTTGAGAGTGTTTCAAAACATGCATTAGGATAACAATCCGGAGCATCTGTTGATCATAGTGTTTGCATTACTATGATGTTCTGAACAATATTTTCCTAAAATTTTCATAGCTCATGCTTTTGTTACAGTTCTCTCTACATTTTCTTGCTGTGTAGACAACCTGCCAGCCCTGCTCCAGGTGGGAATATCATTACATGATTGTTCACATGTTGATCTCTATTAGGAATCTTTCCAGACTGGAATTACCTAGATTTTAATAAAACCTTTACATCATTTTCAGATAAAATTTGTCTGGCAGAAAAAATTGGAAACATTTCAATATGTCTGTTAGAATGTGATTTGGGGCCAATTCTGTCTTACACGGAAGATGAAAATGTAGTACGAGTTTATAAAATGGCATGAAGTGTAGTCATTTTTAAAATACTATTTTACTTTCTGGATTACAACCCACAGCCACTGTCGCCAAAGCCACCTCTAATTTACATCTTTAAAAATTATGTATTTACTAACAAATGTTTTTTAGGAAGACTAAAAAGCTACATCCAAAAAATTATCTAGTTAAGAAAATCAATGTATGAAACTGAGCCCTGTCTCTTTATACCACCACCACCACCCTTATGGATAACTTCTTGGTCAATGATTGAAGCTTGTGAAAAGCACCTTTCTAGTCTGTAGTACCTGTGGTCCACTGTGTCTCTGGGAAGTCCTCAGCTCACGGGTTACCTGGTAACTGAGGCTCCTGTAACTACTTCTCTTTACTGTCCTCAGACATAGTGAAAACTGCTTTCAGCCCTGCTGTGGCATCTTTGTCTCCCTTGTTGTCAAGCACTGAAATCCAGGACTCTCAGGTGCCCAAAAGCAGGAAATCAAAACCCTGATCTGACACTGAGATGGGGATATGTATCAATGCCTTTATATGAGAAGCTAGAACCAGTGCTGCTGGGTGGGGGAATTGTTATTACCAGCAGGATATCGCTATCAGGTAAACATCAGAGGGCAAGGCAATGCTAAGCCCAATGTGCCCAGTGTGTCATCACATTTTGCTTGGTACCTCTAGGTGACAGTGGAACCCCACACTGCCTGTTCAATGCAGCATATTCAGCTCTTCATGTTGTCTAAGAAGCTGTTTCTAAAGAACAGATTCAGACAGTGTCTGGGGCTATGGCATGTCACCTAAAGATCCGTCATGTGCATTAATTTTATTTATTTAAATCGCTGTGAAAACAAAATTATTTCTCCCTTTCTCAATATCTGCTTGGTTTCTTTAGAGGAAAAAGTAGGAAAAATTATCTAATAATCTTAATGTAGGCAAAACTGGATCATTCTAAATGCTCCTATATTGAGGGATATATATATACCCTATCTCTGTTCAGATATTTTGGATGTTCTATAGAACCCAGTATGTATGGTTCCTCATCATCCTGGGAAAAAGTGACAAGTGGGGTGCCGCAGGGTTTTGTACTGGGCCTTTGTTGTTCAACGTCTTTATAAATGACTTGGATTAAGGAATTAAGGGGATGCTCATCAAATTTGCAGATGACACCAAACAGGAAGAGGTACCTAATGCCGCAGAAGACAGAATTAGAATTCAAAATGACCATAACAGATTGGAGAACTGGGCACAAGCTAACAAAATGAATTTCAATAAGGACAAATGTAAGGTTCTGCACCTAGGCAGAAAGAACCAGATGCACCAATCTAGGATGGGGAACATTTGGCTTATTAGCAGTACATGCGAAAAGTATCTAGAGGTCTTGGTGGACCACAAGCTTAACCTGAGTCAACAGTGTGATGCAGGAACAAAAACAGCTAATGCTGTTCTAGGCTGCATCAATGGTAGTGTCCAGACCAAGGCAAGTCATAGCACCACTGTGTTCTGCCTTGGTCAAACCACACCTGGAATTCTGGACACCACAGTTTAAGAAGGATGTTAACAAGCTGGAACATGTCAGAGAAGGTCAACCAAGATGATCAAGGGTCTGGAGACCAAGTCTTATGATGAACAGTTGAAGGAGCTGGGTTTGTTTAGCCTGGAAAATAGACTGAGAGGAGATACAGCCATCTTCAGGTATCTCAGGAGCTCTCACATGGAAGAGGGAACAAGTTTTCTCCTGCTCTGGAGGGTCGGACTTGAACCAAGTTACAGGAAAATAGATTCCAAGTAAACATCAGGAAAAACTTTGTTAGTAAGAGCTGTTTGACAGTGGAACAGACTCCCTCGGAGGCTTTTAAGTAGAGGTTGGATGGCAATCTGTTGTGGATGCTTTAGCTGAGATTCCTGCATTGCGAAGGGTTGGACTAGATGACCCTTGGCACCCTTCCAGCTCTACAATTCTATGATTCTATGACAGATAGCTTATAGGAAGTAATGAAGCATTGTATTGTCTGATAGCAGTCTTAGTGCCCTGTGAAGATTTATTCTGCACATTGCACACAGAGTGACTGCAGATTTTGAAACAGGCTACCCCACAAGCTCACACATTTGCTCTATGTTCATACATAGCTTCGAACACAGTAGGCTGATGTCAAATCAGCAATGTAGTCTTTGCAGCAGGGGGGCAGTTTGCTGAAAAATGTAGGCCACCCAAGTCTCACTCTTTCATCAACAAAGGTTTTTGTAACCAAAATAGGACTTGCTTAGAAGATGTATTCTCAAAATCAAACAGCAAATATATATATATATATATCTTCAAAAGCCACAAACAAACACAGAACTTTATTTGTGAATGCATAATAATAAATAAGAGGCAAACAAAACAAGTAGGGGAACATTCAGAAAATGGAGGTATCTAAAGTGCTTTCAGACAAATATAAAAAGACAAAGGAAAAAATATCAAACATTAACACTTTTACAGACATAATTACAAAATATTTTTCCTATGGCATTTTACAAAATAGGATTTTTTATTTCTGGGTTCTATGGCTTGATATTTTAATACAAGTGTGAATTCTATGCATAGCATGTCAAATAACATTCAAAAATGTAGAGTTATTGCATATGTTTTCCCAAATACAAATTTGTACAAATGCACAGTGTAATTCCATTTATTATGCTCAAATCATGGTAAAAGGGACAGATTCCTTATCAAGTAGAATTTGCTGCAGCTCAAGGTGAAATCATTGAGTCAAGAACAAGGAGATAGTCCACAGTGTTTCCAGGTACCATTTCCCTGCATCAGTTCCCAGGTACTGTTTCCCTGCATCAGTTGGACCTACTGCATATTGTAAACACAGGTACCCTGATGTAGCATCTTCTAAACAAAGAGGGTTGATACACAGCTTTGTGCAGTTTTCTTCAGGGTCAGGAAATAGTCTTTGTGTGCAAAGAGAATTTGTTCAGCACAGTGTTTGTTATAGACTGAGATTCTCGTTTTCTAGAGCTGTACACAGCATTCTCTGACACAAAAGAAAACAGCGCATGTGTTCCACAGAACTCTTATCTGGGCAAGAGGATTCAATTCAGCATGTGGTGGTGGAGTGAATTCTGGTGAAATTAAAGGGGATGCTGTCAGAACAGATTCTGGTGGCCTTCAGAGTTTGGTATAAGTATACCTTGTTTACTAAAGAGTGAAAGGTCAACAGATAGTCTACCCCCTGTAGGACTCAAGATGTGCACAAAAGCTTTTTGCTGACAGTTTCACTTGTAAGGAAAAGAAACCATGGTTCTCCATACACATTCCAACATCATGTCTTCGATACATGTTAAGCCCTTAAATCGCTAGGCATTGCTTGTCAAGGCTGGTTTGTTGTGCCCCTCCCCTCCCTAGTCTTTGTAATGTCACCCGAAATATAGAAAATAACCATTCCTGTCCTATAGTAGCATGTAATCTAAAATAAAGTTTCCCTAAGGTTTATCACTTCTGAAAACAACACCCAAAGCATTTTTGTCAATACCACACCTTGGATTAGCTTAGATGGAGTGCCTTCCGTTTCTTTTTCTACTATAGCAGGTGCGGCTAACCAGTTGCTTTTGGTCCACAACTCCCATTGGCCTCAGCCAGCTTGGCCAATCATCAGGGATGATGGGAGTTGTAGTCCAGCATCCAGAGGGCCACAGGTTAATCTCTCCCATGTTATAGAATGAGGATGCCCTGGTCGTTTTTCTGGAGCTGCTAATCAAAGGTGACTTAGTGAGACATTTTAAAGGAAAAAAGTCAGTAACCCCAATTTATATTGTTTACGTATAAACAACTTTAATGTTGAAAAAATAAATTTTATATTTTGGATGGGCACCATCTAAAAAAGGTCCCGCTTTTATGTAAAATGTTGCATTAGTTAGCTGAAAAATACTAATAAATATTAATTAAACATTAATAAATATATTTTCCCATAGCATTGAAGAGGTTTCTTCATTTATTTATTTATTTTCTATTTCTGATTCTTAGTGCTCACTGTCCTTCATTTTGGGCTGGGGGCCTCCACTGAGACACTGTCTCAAAGTGTCGTGCTTTTTCTCATGCTTTGCTGTGCTGGAGAGATCCATTGCAATGTCATCAGAATTGTCCATTGAGGTAAATTTGTCAGTGGAGCTTCTTTCCTGCTCTACCTGCTTAATTTTTAATTCCTCTTCAGGGCGTTGAGATTTCCAGTCACTGTTCCCCTTTTCCTCGCTTTCGGGCTTAGTTGTAACATCCATTGATTTTTTATGCATTCCTTTAAAGAAAAGCAAAGACCAGAGAGAGTACTGAGAGAGAATACTGATTAAACCTAACAGTGACTGAGAAAGCTAGTACTCTAGCTTGACTGAAACTCATTGGGGTAAACTCATAGCAGCCCACTGAAATCAGTAGACCTGCAAGATAACCTAATCCCATATATGCCCGCTCAATTGCTTCAATCTGCAGAATTTATACTAGTACAGCTGCCACACAATACTCATTCTGCATTTGTAAGAAATTTACATTTTAGTGCAGCAGCACCCAAATTTCGAAACTCCTTGTCTACCGACATCAGGAGTACATCACTCTACTTTTTTGGGTGTCAGGTTAAAAGCATTTTTGCTTAGGCAAGCCTGTCCAGACATGTTAAATATTGACATGTGTTTTAATACAGTTTTTAGTTTATCATTTTAATTATTTTTTGAATGTTTTAAATCGCTAACTTTTTTTTTAACTGATAATTTTATCGTTTTATTCTTGTTGTACACCACTTTGACGTTTCATTGCAATCAAAGAGTATATAAATATTGTGAAATAAAAATAAATAATAGTCATCAACGGCTGCATCCATTGCAGTACCACACATGCCATAGCTTGCTCATGTAAAACACATGAGCAGATCTGCCCTCCCCATCCACATGGTTCCATCATTAGCCATGCATTCTAAGATATCATACAACTGGATTCATGGAAGGCAGGTCAGTAGCTCTGCTTCTGATATTCAAGCATGGCGGGATCTCCATAGGGGATTTCACAAGCAAGGCAGCTGTTTTCTCCATGCAATGTCCCTGTCGTACAAGGAGGAAGTTTGAAGGACTAGGAAGAAAGCTGTTCTATCAGCTCTGATAAAATTCTTAACCAAAGGTTAATCTGTTCTTAACACAAGAACAAAATGTCACTTTATGTAATTAAATCTAAATTTCACTCTAGTATTTTATAAAAGTGATGGCAAGTCAGCTAACAATCACTTCCTTATTTCTCAGTTAATGAAGTGAGAAGGGCTTTCAAAATGACAAGCATTGCTGGGGTAGAGAGCAGGTGTATAGGGTGTAAATAGAGATTAGATTTGTACATATTATAAGAAGTTGTATGTGTGCAAGCATGAACAAGACATGAGTGCGCACCCACCCACCCCAACACGGTGGGATCCTTGTCAGTGAAGGCTGGAAGGTAGATTTCACCATCATTGCAGCAGTGCCCACAAATGCACTCAGCAACACAACTGGGATGAAGGCTGTGAAGCCTAAGTCTGCTCTGTACCCCAGTAGTGTCTTTCATTTTGAAAGCCCTCCCCACTTAATTAACTGAGTTTCAGCCCAACCAGCGAATGCAGAGCACTATATGTTTGCTTACCGAGCAGCCAGGGGGCACAGGAGCCCACAAGCCCACTTTTGGCAGAGTTGATGATTGATTCAGGTAGTGGGATGGAGTGTCTCACCATAGCACCATAGAGACCATATTCTGCCATCACGCTGCTGCGGCCCCAGCACTTCTCACGCTTTCGCCACTTGGCTCTTCGGTTTTGAAACCAAACCTTTTGGATGTACATCAAGAAGTATATATTTAGCAAAAGTATCGATATTTGTGTGGAGGACTGAGGGGGAGGGGGGAGGAAAGAACATCAAATAAAACATGTCAGATCATATGTTCTAAGTAATTTTTGAGTTCTCTGTTTGCATAAATAAGATAGAAGACACAAACAACCAAATTAACAGTTTCTCAATCTTATTCCTGCACTAAATAAGCAATAGAAATTCTTTTTCCTTTCATTGTGTTCAGTGCTATTTTTCTAGAAACAGAAGTGCTGGAACCCACCATGAACACCTCCTTTGTTCTCTTATAATGGCAATGGTGCCCACCTGAGAGGTGCCAGAACTGAGTTCCAGCTGAAAAAAACTCTTTGTTCCAGGTGAAGATGATGCTACATAAATTAACTGATAAGGTTAACCGTCACTCCTTTTGCTATTATTTTTCTTTCTTAATACTACCTAACACTGCCTTACTTGTGAAATACCACCTGGTCTGGGATCATGTCACTTCTACATTTTGTATAGTACCAGCATCCTGTTGGTGCAAATTTACAGTGGCAGGAGAGTCATAATATTGGAAAGTGAAGGCTAGATATTGCAACTAACACCAGTTTTTTTTTACTTATTTCAATGAGCCATTCCTGTTCATCTATATACAGTGGTCGCTCGGGTTAAGAATTTAATTCGTTCTGGAGGTCCGTTCTTAACCTGAAACTGTTCTTAACCTGAAGGACCACTTTAGCTAATGGGGCCTCCCGCTGCTGCTGTGCCGCTGCTGTGTGATTTCTGTTCTCATCCTGAAGCAAAGTTCATAACCCGAGGTACCATTTCTGGGTTAGCAAGGTCTGTAACCTGATGCGTCTGTAACCCTAGGTACCACTGTACATTTTTATAGAGCTGAATTAGAATCAGATGGCTGGAAGATTATACAGCCTAGCCTCCTGCACTGTTGCACAATTTGCTAGGAAAAAAATAATTCCTTAGAGCTATTTACCCAGCCACTCCTTAATCCAAAGGTTTCAAAGTCAGATGGGCTGGAGTGCCAAATTCCCCATCAGGCAGATACTCAACTTTTTTTTTTACTGAAAATAAAAGATGCTGTGGTCTTCAACTTCCTTCAGCCTCAGCCAACATGGTCAATAGTCAGGCATGATAGGAATTGTAGTCCAGGAAAATATCCATTCCTACCTGCCCTGAGGGTCTAGTAAGCTCCCATGACTTGTGTTTGATCAGTGCTTTAAATGAATGTGTTGACACTCAATACAGGCAGCCTTTACTGAGGACTGTAAATTATTATTATTATTATTATTATTATTATTTATTATTTATTATTATTATTAATAGCCCACCCATCTGGCTGGGTTTCCCCAGCCACTCTGGGCAGCTCCCAACAGAATATTAAACAGAATAAAACTTCAAACATTAAAAACTTCGCTAAATGAACTTTCCATTTCCACACTTTATGGTGGTTTAACAATAACAAACAACATACCTGTATCCTATCCTCAGGGAGCTCTGTTTTCATGGCTAACATTTCTCTGGCATACACATCCGGGTAGTGGGCTTCATTGAAAGCCTTTTCCAATTCCTCCAGCTGATGGGCAGTAAACACAGTCCTACAGGGACAATAAACTCAATAATTCATAGATGGCCATGTCACATCCTTCAGAAACAACTTTCTGCTCTAGTAGCAGATGTGTAAGTTGGAATTATATAGTCCAGAGTGAGAAATACCAAGTGAACTTGTTAAACTCCTGTATTTGCTATTTGCCTGGAACTGCAAGTGTGTGTGTTTGCATGTGTGTGAGAGTGTGTGTGTGATGGAGTACATGGCTGATGGACTGCATTCATCTTGCAGGCCTCAGTCAATATTTGGTGGTCCCCAGTATTGAACTCCACCTCCTATAAACCTCAGTCAGCATGACTAATGGTCAGGGATGATGGGAATTATATAGTCCAGGAACATCTGGAGGAATTAGAAATTAACATATGAGCTGTATTTTTTGGCATTGCTTTCTATGGGAAAAGTGCCCACAATGTTTTCACTAATATAAAAGCTGCACAGTTATTTGTGACTTAATCTTTGATGCCTTAGGCAGGGTTGGGAAACTAGTAGCGACCAGCTGTTGATGGACTCCAGCTCCCATCATCCTTGACCATTGGGTTTACTGACGGGCTGATTGGAGTTGTTCCAACCTGGTCTGAGACCTTGATCTCTAAATTACCTTGCTCTTGTGCAAGGTAATGGGAATGAACAAGAGGGAGCTAGAGTCCACCCCAAGCTCTGCTGCTCAGACAAGCAGGCAGATTGCAAACTATAACTTCCAGAATGCTGTACAAAATAAGAACTGGCATAGAAGGGTGTCCCTTTGTGTTTCCATCTGCCTAGGAATTTGTTTTTTTCTGTAAAATCCAGAAATATTACCAGGTCTTCAAGTCTAAAATGGAAGAGAAATCCTTTCATTACCAACATTTGATTTAAATTAACTCAAAATCTCCTAGCTCAATCAGATTTCATGCTGCCTAGTTTACTGTTGTGCTTTCAAGACTTACAGTGCAACCTTAGATATGCATAGGATTACAACCCCACTTACCTGGGAGTAAGCCTCCTTGAATTAAATAGGCCTTGCTTCTGAGTAGACATGGTTAGGATGGCCCAGTTAATCTGGGAACACAGGAAGCCACCTTTATACTAAGTCAGACTTACTTGTCCATTCAGCCCAGTACTACCTACACTGGCTGGCATTAGCTCTTCAAGGTCTCAGGCTTTCCCCATCACTTGCTGATTCTTTTTGCTGGGGATTGAACCTGGGACCTTCTGGGAGGAAAACATGGGTTTTACTACTGAGCCATGTCTCTGTTGTGCCTTCAGGACTTACTTTGAGCCAGGTTTTCCCCAATATATTGTTTTCACTGCTGAGGCTTAGCACTGAGCATATGAAAAAAATAAAAAAGTTTCTGACCATGTGCAAAGTGTCTTTCCTTTGCCACTGAGTAACCACAACTAACCATTAGGACTTCCAGGTTAAATGGTGTTACTTCTGTCTTGTCCCAAGCCCCAGAATTCTCTAGCAAAAATTCACATGTCTGATCAAGTGGCAATTTCTTTCTTCAACATCAACAGACCAGATAATTCATTTTAAAAAGTTATACAGTACTGTCCAATACAATACAGAAATGCTAACAGTGAAATCCTATTATATGTGTCTACTCAGAGGTAAGTCCTATTGAGTTCAATGATCCTCACTCCCAGGTGGGTGAATATAAGATTGCAGCTTAAGTGAGATTTTAAAGAGAGGGAATGTAGCGTACTTACAAAGTTTAACTCTGGGATCTAATGCTACAAGCTGTGTCTGGGAAGACTCCAGTTATATTTATCTGTCATACCTGTGCCGCCGTTTCTTTCTCTTGATCTGAGAATCGGATGCCTTGAGGTTGTTCTTGTCCCCCGACAAACTGTCTTCATCTAATATTTTGGTTGGGGAGAAAAACATAAATATAGATCAAAAGTTTCCCTCCGTATAACCATTGTTCTATTCAACTTATTTACATGCCCTGTTTAAAACAGATTGTTTTCCCAAAGAGTTTCCAAATTGTAAAAGAGCAATAAAAATTACTATGAAGAAAATCAACAGAAGTAGATTTCAGAAGTAGAATTTGTTAATGACAACTCTGCTTTTAAGGCTCATCTAAAAATGGGAGGAGAGGGAGCTCTGCAGACTTCCCCAGGGAGGGCATTTCACAGCTGCAGTGCCAACTAATATTCTACTTAGTACAGCATCTTCAGTGTCAAGAAATGGCCACTGATGAGGGTATATTGGCTGTTATCTACCACATATGCCACCTTTTGACCAGCCTGTGTCCAATAGTCCCTGTTGCGGCAAGCGCCAAGGAGGGGGGCAGGTAGCTGCCAACCAGGACTACAAACAGGGCTGGCAAGTGGCCAGAGCTGATTGAAACTGCTCTCCTCAGTCATTAGGAATATAGGTCAACTCCAACCATCTCCACTGCCTGGCAAAATAAATGGGAAGGAAGCTGCCACAAACACCAGCTTTTCAGCACCAGCAGAGCAACTAGAGCAGGTGGGAAGAAGGCTAAGGCAGGAATAGAATCGGGGGCAGTCCAGTTCTTCTACCAAGGGACCAACAGAACAGGGGGCTCCAAAGTAAACCTAGTTGGTCCTAGATGGAGCCTTCTCTGAATCACAATAAAAGTTACCAAAGAGCCTTTATTTTTCCATTTCAATATTTTATTAATGCATAAGATATACAGAATCAAATATTATATGAGATTGTTTGTTTAAGCAAATTACTTTGAAACGCCTCCGTTCTCCCATAGTTCATAGGACAGTTTTTTATTTCAATGTATACTGTTTTGCAGAACCCTTAAAAAAACCAAGAGAACTCCAGCTGAGTAAAATTCTGTAGGAACCAACACCTTCAAACAGACGCTGAAATTTTTAGCTCAATATTATTTTAGTGCCCTTTCCCTCCTTCAGTTTTATGCTGACCTCTCAGCTGGCAGCCGTGCTGCCTCTGAGATTACTAACTCAAGCAGGCATTCCTTTAATCTCTTCCCTGGAAAGAAAGAGGCTGCCATCACACGCTTACACAGCAGTGAGTGAATCCCATGGCAAACCCGAGGAAGCCCAGTGCCATGGTGTTTCCCACCTGGTTAGAACCCCACCGTGGTGGAGGCTTCCAGTCAAGTGAGAAAGGCCTACTTTTGATTGCCATTGGCCATGCTGATGTTCAACACTGCAGCTAAATGAACTATAACCACTGAAGAGAAACTCAAGCATGGTTTGGTGTGTGTTGTGTGAAGAGGATCTGAGTGAAAACATGCATGAGTAAAAATGTGCATATAACTTCCAAGTCCTAGTGTTCACCCACAGAGATAATGACCAAAATCACACACTGGAAAACACCGTGCCACAATATTTGACCCATGCTCCTCACCCAATAATAGTGCTGTAAGCAGCAATGCTGTTAGATTCTTCCCATGGACTCACCTGTCCCAACAAGCTGTTTGCCTAATATTTCCACACCTATATACATCTGCACATCCAAAAGTGATCCCTTATAAACAGAACGTCACATAAATGGTCCTTGGTGAATCTGTGTGAACAGTTGCACATGTGAAAATATTTGTACATGTGTGTTCCCACATGCAGAAGCTTGTCGTCCAAATGGCCCATCCATATAAGGATTGTTTCAGATCTTTTTGGAGTTCTCTCATCAGCACTTTTATTTGCAGAATTTGTTTAATGTCTGCCAACAGTTAATGGTTCTGAAATAGCCGCCTGGTGCTCCAAATCATCTCCTTCCAAATCTTTCCCCCAGCAGATCAGGTCACCAGGATTTCATGTAAAATATTAGCATATCCATGTAGCTCTGCCTTTGGCTAGAACAGGGGCTAGAGTATTGGTGACAGATAAGATAAACTCCATGATAAGATTCCTGCCCAGTCATGAAGCTCACTGGCTGGGTATGGACTCACTTTGGGAAGGGCCATAGCTGAGTGGTAAAACATGTACTTTGTGCATAGAAGGTTTCAGGTTCAATCCTCAACATCTCCAGGAAGGGCTAGCAGCGACTCCTGTCTTAAATTCTGGAGAGCTGCTGCCAGTCAACGTTGACAAAATTGGACTAGATTAACTAGTGGTCTGATTCTTTCTATGTTTCCAAGTTACTGTTTCTCAAGCAACACACCGTAGAGTGTTATAATGTTGTGAAGCTGTAATGTGGGTTATTGGAAGGACAGGATGCAAGCACCTTTTTCATGGACACAGACAGGTCCTGTTTAACAGCTACATGATCTCCGGAATTCAACAGGTGGCACTTTTGCCTGTACAGAGATGTAGTGAGAGTTGGGGAAACCTCATGTTGTGGTGGTTCATATTATGCTGCTTTTAAAAGGCACAGGGTATCTGTTAGCAAATAAATTAAACTTAAGATTGTTATCAACTTTAGATTTGGGAACCAGATTTGCATGTTGCGCTGGAAAATAAAGATTGGTGATACCCATGCAGTATGAAGACCTAAAGGGTTGGTTTGTTCGTTTGTCTGTCTATGGCGTGCAGTGCCTGCACCTACCAACTGAGGATATTTCACGCATCTGGTAAGTAGACTCCAGCCCGCTGACCCTACCAAAAGATCTCTCGGTCCGTAAGGTGGCACACAACAACTCTTTCAAAGAGCTCTTGGAACTTCGGAGGTGTCCAAAAGGAACTGATCGGCGCCTGCCAGCCAGCCTGCCTCTCAGCGGCTCTGTGCTGTCTGAGCGCCCTGCGGAAAGCAGCGCTGTTCCCAAGCAGCCACGCTGCGCAAAGGTCGGGCTCCTGCCCTGCTTGGAGCGCTTCCTCCGGCCGCTCACTGCTCGATCTGACCCGGCCTGCGCTCCTCTACCCCTCCCGGCCTCTCGCCCCACGGCAGTCGCTCTCCTGGATTCCCCTCCCCCCGGAGAGGACCTGCCCCAAGCTGGATCTCGCTTACCGGAGATGTTCTCCTTGTGCTTTTCGGCTCCGGGGCCGTATTGGTGCGGGTGGTGGCTCGGGTGGTGGTGCGAGTGGTGATGGTGCTCCGGGCGCGCTTGCAGAAAGGGCAGGTGCGCCGGCAGGAGGCAATGCGCCCCGGCCGGCTGCTGCGTGGCGAAGCCGCACAGGAAGCCCAAGCCCATGGGCAAGGGGCCGGAGCCGCCTCCTGCCAGTCCCGCTGCCCCTCCGCCGCCTTCGCAGCCCGAGCCGGTCACGGAGGAGGTGGCGGGCGGCTGCAGCTCCGCCTCCAAGCCCAGCAGGTCGGTGATGGCGAAGCCCTTGGAGCGCAGGCTGCCGCCCGACGGGCTCCCCAAGCGCGCCTTCTCGGGGCCGCCGCCGCCTCCGCTGGGCGCCAGCGCTTTCCCCTTGGCTTTCCCCTCCGCGATCTCCTCGCGGCCCGTCATGCTGCTGCTGCTGCCTCTGCTCGCCTCTCCTCGGCAGCCGGGCGCCGACACACAAGCGCCGAGAGACTCTCCGAGGCTTTTTATCCTGCGCGCCCCAAGCCGCCCGGCGCCAATCAGCTCCAGGGAAAGTGTGCGCGGGACGGAGGGGGGGGGTCACTCCCTGAGAATTAATTGCCACCAATTTCCTCGCGGTCCGATCACTCTTTCCCCTGCTCCCCCTCCCTCTTTTCCCTCTCCACTTTCTGACTTGGGTATTATTTGCTCTGGGTAACAATAAAAGACGCCTGCTTCTTGGGAGAAAAGCGATGACAAACCTAGACAGCATCTTAAAAAGCAGAGACATCACTGTCCCCGAGAGGGGGCAATGACAATAAAGATATTATTATTATTATTATTATTATTATTATTATTATTATTATTATTATTGCCAACAAAAACCCGTATAGTTAAAGCCATGGTTTCCCCAGTAGTGATGTATGGAGGTGAGAGCTGGACCATAAAGAAGGCTGATCGCCGAAGAATTGATGCTTTTGAATTATGGTGCTGCAGGAGACTCTTGAGAGTCCCATGGACTGCAAACGACTAAACGACTAAACAACAACAACAGATTTCACTACGAGGTGTGGAAGCCCCATTGGCTTTGGCGTTTGTCCCCCGTCTCCCTGCCCTCCACGCCGTCCACCCCCCGTCGCTGGCAGACAAGAAGAGCCTGCAGGATCTGGCCAGTGGCCCATCTTAATCCAGGATCCTGTTCTCATACAGTGGCCACCCACATCCCTGTGAGAACCTGCAAGCAGGACCTCAACACAACGGCACCCTCCTTTCCTGCAGCAACTGGCATTCAGAAACATCCTGCCACGAATTTGTCTAACCCTCTTTTGAAGCCATCCAAGTTGGTGGCCATCACTGCCTCTTGTGGAAGAGAGTTCTGTAGTTCAACCATGCGCTGCGTTAAAAAGTATTTTATCTGTCCAAAATCCTCCACCATTCAGCTTCATTGGGTGTCTACGAATTCCAGTGTTATCCGAACTTCTATCCTGTCACCTTACTCTCCTTTTCTCTAAACCTAGAAGTCCCAAAAGCTGCAACCTTTCCCCATAGAAGAGTAGCTCCACCTCCTGGATCATTTTGGTTGCCCTTTTGTGGATTCTCAAGGCATAGCCCATAGGAAGCTATATCAAGTCAGACAGGTGGCCATTTAGCTCAGTACTACCTACACTGATTGGCAGCAGCTCTCCTGCGTTTCAGATGGGGTTCTCTCCCAACCCCACCTACAGATGCCAGGGATTGGACATGGGACCTCCTATATGCAAAGCAGATGTTTTCCCACAGAGCTATGGTCTTCCCCTCAGGACCACTGGATATTGTCACCCCTTAACCACTTCTTCATTCTGTCATAGTGATATGGCAACAAATAGTAATAAAGAATGCTAAAGACAACCACTAGCAAGATAGCAGGGTGTCTGTTCAGAGATACTAACGCAGCATAACTGTAAGTGGGGATCTAAAGGTAAAGGGACCCCTGACCATTAGGTCCAGTCGGGCCGACTCTGGGGTCTCATCTAGCTTTATTGGCCGAGGGAGCCGGCGTACAGCTTCCGGGTCATGCGGCCAGCATGACTAAGCCGCTTCTGGCGAACCAGAGCAGCACACGGAAATGCCGTTTACCTTCCCGCCAGAGTGGTACCTATTTATCTACTTGCACTTTGGCATGCTTTTGAACTGCTAGGTTGGCAGGAGCAGGGACCGAGCAATGGGAGTTCACCCCGTCGCAGGTATTTGAACCGCTGACCTTCTGATCAGCAAGCCCAAGGCTCAGTGGTTTAGACCACAGCGCCACCTGCGTCCCATAAATGGGGGTCTACACTGTAGCATATTTAGCATAACCATTAATTAGACAGTGAAGGCATCCCAATAATCATCTGCAGCCATTCGGACCTGGAAAATCAAGAACCATCAGATTTCTTGGCAATGAACCCTTGGATACCTTTAATTGCCTGTTCTGTCTTAATTCTCTATGTAGTGAGGGAGTGCTGATGGCACAGGAGGGACAGATGATTTATTAAAAATGCAGCATGCTATACAAAACATCCCATTAGGCGTAATATATATTGTAAGCCATGGCAGCCAGACTGTATCTGCAAAGCTGCCTTACAGAAGTTCAAGCCATTTGTTCATCATTCTAGCCCCATATTCTGTACTCTGACTGGCAGCAGCTCTCAGGCTTTCTCATTACCCACAACTTGAGCCTTTTAGCTGGAAATGCCAGAGATTGAGCCTGAGGCCTTTGGCATGGGAAGCATGTGCTCTGCCACTGAATTATGGCATCTTCCAATAGAGGTACCATCGTCTTCTCCCCCAGACAAGGAAAACCCCTTTTCCAATTAAGGCAAGGATGAGTCCATGGGAGTCAGAAGGAAGAAAGTTAGGCAGGAGTTTATGGTAGACTCACAGAGCAGGGGACTAACAGGCAGGAAAGTTACAACTCTAAGGACTATTAAGGACGGGGGACAAAATTAGAAAGCACAAGGAATCAGAAACAAATCCTTCAGGACCCTGGACAGGTCCCATGAGCAAGGTTATTTGTTGCATAAATGCCAAAATCCATATTAAGACAATACCTTTAATAGGACAACTAAACTATCACAAGGGATGTGGTGGCGCTGTGGTCTAAACCACAGAGCCTAGGACTTGCCGATCGGAAGGTCGGCGGTTCAAATCCCCGCAATGGGATGAGCTCCCGTTGCTCTGTCCCTGCTCCTGCCAACCTAGCAGTTTGAAAGCGTGTCAAAGTGCAAGAAGATAAATAGGTACCACTCCGGCGGGAAGGTAAACAGCGTTTCCATGCGCTGCTCTGGTTCGCCAGAAGCGGCTTAGTCATGCTGGTCACATGACCCAGAAGCTGTACGCCGGCTCCCTCGGCCAATAAAGCGCCGCAACCCCAGAGTCGGTCACAACTGGACCTAATGGTCGGGAGTCCCTTTACCTTTACCTTAAACTATCACAAAGCAATTTGTAAGCTTTTGAGTTCTCCATAGTTTTTCATCAGACAAGATGGTAAACAATGGGATGGGGCAAACAAAGCAACACAGATGGAGAAAACCAAGGAGTCTGCCTCTCTTCATATCAACCCCCCTGCCCCCCCAAATGCAGCCCTCCAAGTCTCTCAGTCTGGGTATTCTCCCTAATGTCATTCTTTTTCTCCAGGCTGTACCCCTTACTGGCTTGCTTCACACCCTCCATGAGCATGAAATGTGTCCTTTAACTCTGGTTGTGCCTCCTGCTAGCCTAGCTAAAGACTAGGGTCTGTGAGCAACATGTGTAGAAACTAGCCTACTGCACATAGGTAAAATATACATTTGTTGCTCCACCTATTTGTGCTTCCGATCCCCACCCACCATTGGCATATGGCCCCTGGAAGATTGCCTAGAAGTAAATGTGGCCCTCAACTTTTTTAAAAAAAGCTCTTCACTGGCACATGTGCTCACAGACACATTGTCCTTTTCGCTTAGGATCTTAGACAATATGTTGCTGTCTGTTCACTGGTGTTTTGGGTCAGGTTTGGTGTTCCATTAGTTAGCTGCACAAAAAGAAATGGGAAATGGAATTTTGCTTTTGGGGAGGGGGGCAGGAATCAGTGTCAGGTGTACAGTGACTCTCAGCTGCTGCACTCTGCAAGCTGCTTTTGTGATTATACCAAAGGGAAGAGGGAGTTGCTTCTCAGTCCATCTACAAGTGATAGCATGGGCAGCATTGGGGGCAGGTGGAAGCGGTGGGTGGTACAGAAGAGGCAAATGTATTTCTGGGGAGGGGGCAAGGCTTGTCCCACATTTTAGATATCCGAAAGAGAAATAATGGACCATACGACATGAATTCTCCCACACCAAATCTCCAGTAATTCCCACTGATCTTTTTAAAGTTCACTTTCAAATAAACATGTCTAAGATTGTAGCCTTATTTTAATTTCTAGTTTATGATTTAAACTTCCCAAAAACATCCAGCACTTCTTGGAGGTGAGCCTCCCCTTTCAGTGCTCCCTATTCTGCAAATGATAGTCCTTAATTCTGTAAGAATTAATCTGGAATAATTGCTACCCTTTAGCCCTTCACTCAAAATTATTGATATGGAATAGAAACTTCCACTTCACCTGTGAGCAGAAAAGAAGAGAAAAACACACACTATCTCTCTCTCTCTCTCTCTCTCTCACACACACACACACACACACACACTCCTCATTTATTGTTTATTTTGGCAATTAGTGGGAGGGGAAAGGACACCTGAGAGCAACTTGCTCCAAATCTGTGTTGTATCAGGAGAGATTCTAGGGTATCTCTCATGAACACACTCCATGTTTGAAATTCCACCATAAAACCTACATTGGTTAGCATGTACAATTGGTTTTAAACTGGCTTTCTCCCCTCCCAGTTTCTATTCTGTATTAGCAGTGATCACAAGAGAAATATATCCTAACTAAAATGCATTCTTCAGGAAAGGAAAGAAAACTGCAAATTCCACACTGTTTCTGGGTGGTTTGTTATTTGGCTGACCAACAAAGCCAGCTCGCCAGCTCTTCAGTGTGTCTTTTGGACACTGGCATCAGGCTTGGCCAAATTCAAGCTGTGATTCCAGGTCAACTTTATTTTTAGCATCCGTCAAATCCACCAGTAAAGCTAAAATCTGCTAGATTTCAGGCTCTCTCTTTTAAATTGAGAGAGTTGTTGCGTTTAACCACGAGCCACGTGTTACCAAACAAAAACAGAAGAGCGGGAGAGGGGAGACTGCAGCTATTTGTACCTCTGATTCCATTTCTTGCACCTGGGTTGCATTTCCCCGCTTCATCTGTTTATGCAAACGATTTACAAACAGCTTACATCAAGTGCTCTAAAGCAGATCACTTTTTGATTTGGTCCTTTTCTGCTAAACATGCAGATTAAACAGGGGTCTTCTGATAAAGATAATTACAAGAGGACTGCGTATTAACTTTACATTATTAAAGAAAGACCCAAATCTCCCCTTGCAAGCTGTTCCTGGGAT